CTGTGTGTGTGAGCCCTGGCTTCTGTCCCTACCACAGGACAGTGTGGTGACTCTAAATGATGGCCATCAGGTCTTTATCTGGCAGACTCTATACCAGTCCCCTTAAGATGAGCCCAAAGACGTAATGGCACCTGATAGTGTGCCCCTTGGAGAGGTCGGGGAGGTGTAAAAGCATTTCAAGGAGGAGCAGCTATTCTCTCACTCAAGACCATGATGTCTCCCTGGTTCCAGATGTATCTTTACAGCACCAGTCCGTATGTAAAGGCTGTGGTGTGGTGTCACACAGCACACCTGAAGCCTTGGGGGCTTGGACCACTTTTAATCTCCAGTAATCATCGAGAATCCTAAAGAGTGTATGAAGCCCCAAGTATATTTGCCACAAATACTGCAAATTAAAGGTGGTTGTTCTTGTTTCGAGACAGGGTCTCACTGTGTAGCCCTAGCTTTCCTGGAACTCACTTTGCAGACCAGGCTGGGCTTGAACTCACTGAGATCTGCCTGCCTCTGCCTCTCAGCGCTGAGGTTACAGGTGTGTGCCACCATGCCTGGCTTTTCTGTCTTTGATTTCTCTCACAGGTTTAGGGAGTGGAAATCCAAATTGCATCCCATCACAGTGGAAGTGTTTGTCTCTTGTCTATATTCCATTTCTTGTGATTCCAGAAGCTTCATGGCTTCTGGAAAACTCCAGGGAACACTCATGAGAGGATGAAGGTGAGAAAGCAAAGGAATGCAGCCAGTGAGATAGTTCAGTTGTTACACCAACACTGATGACTTGAATTTGGTCCCTGGAGCAATGTATTGGTGAAAGGAGAGACCCAACTGCAGTCACCCTCTGACTGCCATGTGAGGTCACACGTCCATGCCAATACACCTATAAACATATACACTAAATAATTTTTAATGACTTCATTTTTATGTGCATTGGTATTTTGCCTGCATGTATGTCTGTTTGAGTGTGTCATGTCCCCTGGAACTTTAGTTACAGACAATTGTGAGCTTTCATGTGGGTGCTGGGAATTGAACCTAGGCCCTCTGGAGAAGCAGCCAGTAGTGCTCTTAACCATTGAGCCATCTCTCCAACCTCTATTAAATAATTTTTTAAGGAGGAAAAAGTCAAATCCTACTTTATATGAAAATGGGTTCTAGCATCAGGCTCCTGGAGAGGTCTCAGGGACTTCCTTCCCAGTGGATTCTGCAGACTATGGGGGGGAGCCACTAGACCACTGCATGCTGGTTTGGAAGGCTCACTGTGTATCGTGAGATACTGACCATGCAGCCTCAGCGAGATTATGTCACCTGGATCTAGCTGTCTTATCTGCATGCTGGGGCTGTGGTTCCTGTTGAGCCTGTCTTACAGGGTCATTTCCAGACTCAGCCTGTGACACTGTGGCCTTTCTCCCCAAACCAAAGCTGTGTATTTATAAACAGCATCACCAAGGAGCCTTTCTTTACCTTTGAAGTACATGTCACCCCAATATGTAGGACAGTTATTTTTAAAAACCTGACTTCCTGTCTTTATACCACTGGCTCCGGGGACATTTCATGAAACCATTCATTATTCTCAGTTTACAATCAAGGGTTGAGCCTTGGCTAAGTCGATTGGCCAGAAAACAGGGACTTGTCCCCAGTGTAGTGACACTGACACCCTGTTCCTGAGGCACACTGGTTCTGGGTGGCATTCTTGTCTGATGTGGGGCTGTGTTTTTGACACACTGACACATTCAAACAAGGAGATTGCCGTTCTTTGCTGAAATAAATTACCCTCCATGTGAGTCATATATGCTTCGAAGATCTAAAGACATCACACAAGGAGAACCAGTTTGGAACTCCTTGGAGTGCAGATTTTTAAATCAACTGGGTGTGGTGGCACATGCCTATAATGCCAGCACTTACAGGTGGAGGCAGGAGGATTGTGAGTTCCAGGCCATCCTGGGCTACATAGCAAGCCATCTCAAAACAATAGGTCACCAGCTCTGGGATGGTAAATGGCTTCCTTTGTTTTTATTTGTTTGTTTTCGTCAAGGTGGCCTTGAACTCCAGATCCTCATGCCTCTCCTGAGTGCTGAAATTATAGGCATGTACAAGCATGCCCAATGACTCATGTATTTTGATAGTTAAAGACCTGCCCATCTTCCCAAGGTGTTTGTACTTAGGAGTTACCCATTTTCATGGATCATTTTCCAGGAAAACAGTTTTCTGTGCACGCAATCCTGAAGCAGCTCTACTCCATCTTAGAAGATCATTTGAGTGTGACATAGGTGACAGAGAACTATAGTGCGGTCTTTTCTTGAACTAGGGAACAGAGCAGGAAGTACAAATCTGGCACCTAGCTGCTCATATAGTATTTAAGGAAATCTTTAGTTGAGTTAAATCCCATCAGCTCTGCTCCAGTGGCGGAAACCCTCCAACAACCAGACATACTTAGAGTGCTGTGCCCAGGATGGTAATGTAGGTTGTCCCCCCCTCGTTAATGTACTAATACAGTAACTAACTAAAGGTGTATGTTTCAGTCTTGCGGGTGTTAAAGGCCCACTTCCGTTGCAGTTGAGAGAAGTCCAATTCCAGATAGCTTGCACAGAATGGTAAGCGAGGTGAAGGGGTGGTGGTCTGTCTTAAGGAGGAGAAGAGTAGGGTGTAGGGCTGCTGGGTCCCTTATTTTACACTGCTGTGCTCTGTTGGGCTCTTGTATGGTTCCAAAGTGGACAGTCAGCTACTCCATGCTTTTAGCCACCTCAGTGGGAAAGTTTCTGCCAAGCTTCAGAAAATTTTTACAATGAAGTCTCATTAATTCTAATTCCTTGATCTCTTTCCCCAAAATCACTGTGGCTAGAACTATGCATTGCTGATTGGCCAGCCTGGGTCACTTGACCACACCTGGGCTCAGAGTTGCCCCACTGGAGAGAGAGTCATGGGGTTAAAGCTGTTAGGTTGGGCAAATGAGAAACATTTTGGTTTGTGGGCTCCGAAGCCTCAGTACTTTGGGGGAATTGTCAATCAAGTAGCCATGATATCTGGAAAAATTAAGAACTAGATCACATTGTCTTGGGAAAGATGACCCTGTTAGCCATGACCACTTAGATGAATATATCTGGGTTGGCTGAATGGAGCCGATCATGTGATATCCAGCTGTGTAGCTCACTGTTGGGGAAACCTGGTTATCAAACCTGTCCTGCCCCCACACCCGTGCCCTTGAATGGTAACAATTTTAGTACAGTTAGCCAGGCTGACGGGCCCTGAAGAACTGCCCAAGGCAACTTTAGAAATATTCAAAACCCTGTGACAGTTTGAGAAAACCAAAATATGATCAAGTCATTTTGCCTGAAATCCATCACAAGCTATGATCCCATCCTCTCAGGGAGGCTAAGGCAGGAGGGTTGTGAGTTCAAGGTCAGCATGGGCTACAGAAGGAGAATCCTTTCTCAAAATACCCATCACTACTACCCCACCCCAGCATGGGTGATGACTCAGCATCTAGCGCTGGTGGATAACTTGCAGACAGCTCTACAGGCGGATTGCCAGTCCTTGCTTACAGCTTATGTAAGTCAGCGGGCAGGGCTTAGGACACTATAACACTGGGCTGGGTGTGCTAAACTCTGCAAGCGTGTGGACTTCCTGAGGCTTAGGGATTCCCCATTTTCCTCTGAGAGGGAACAGTGGGGGGGGGGGTTTGTGTACTCCACAAAAGCTGATGACAATGACATAACCCAGGTAAAAGCGTGTCAGAAATGGGGCTTGGGCTCAGGGGCTCGCAAGGGCAGCAGTGGTAACACCTTTGTGTTCTGGAAGACCACCAGACCCTCCTTCCAGCCCATAGCTTGGGATGATAAGGGTATGAACTAGGAGGCCCTACAGTCCCACATGTATAACACAAGTGTGTAAGGTTGATTGGAAGGAAGGCCCTTTCCATACTGCAGACATCTGTCTCCCTTAGATGCTTGCAAACATTTATGTTCCCTTCCTCTTCTCAGCCAAGTAAGGCCACCGTGTTCTTCTTGGGCAACCCCCTCCCCGTTCCCGTGCCTCTTCCCCTCAGGCTTCTATGTGGATTCTACCTACTCCTTTAAAGGTTTTCTAGGAGTTCTCTGCAGTATCTGGTCTAGTGAGGGTCTCTGCTGAGCTCCACAGCATCCTCACACTGCTGGTTCTAGAATGGACACACCCATCAGACTGGAGGTGCCCTAAGGTCAGGGTCCTGCACTAAGCCTGCACTCTGTCTAACATTTGAGAGTCCCGTGGCTTAGGGCTCTGTGGGAGCATGGGGAATGCTGTGGTCATATGAACTGAAGCCACTAAAGGCAACTGAGACTTCTTCCCCAGAGGACTGAGACGGTTTTAACATACACAGGGCGGTCTAATGTAAGTCACTAGACACTTTGGTGTTTTGTTTTGTTTTGTTTGGTTTGGTTTTACTTTTGGTTTTTGAAGACATGTTTTGTCTGGCTGTCTTGGAACTCTCTCTATAGACCAGGCTAGTCTCAAACTCAGAGATCCACCTGCCTCTGCCTCTCAAGTACTGGATTAAAGGTGTGCGCCACCACCACCCAACAACTAGACACATTTTTACAAGGTTCTTAAATTACATAAATAAAATACAAAAATTACTGGGTGTGGTGGTTGAATGCCTATTAAATCTCAGCACTGAGGTGGCGGAGACAGGAAGATTTGAGAGTTTAGTGCCATAGTAAGATTATTCTGAATGGATAAGTGAATGAGTGATTGAAAAACATACCATGTCAGTGTAGCTAAAGTAAGCTGCAAATACGTTTCCTTCTCAGTCACATGACCATCTTGAAGCTCTCATGTATCCAGTGGCAGGTATTTACTGGACAGTGGATTCTGGATCCTTCTGAGAATGGCTGGCAGGTTTTGGATGGTGCCAAGCCTGGCACTGGGTCCCTGTGATGTGTGAACCCCTTCCAGATGTTTCTGGTCAGGTGCAGCAAATGTTTGCAGTTTCCTTCCTGAGCTGATGGTATTTCCTCCATCTTACCCCTGGCTAGGATGCACGCCAGAAATTCCGATCTGTCCTGGTCGAGGCAACGGTGAAGCTAGACGAACTGGTTAAGAAAATCGGCAAAGCTGTGGAGGACTCGAAGCCCTACTGGGAGGCCCGCAGGGTGGCAAGGCAGGTAAGGCAGCCTGTGGCCATCTCCTCTGCCCACACTCCCCAAATGTATTTGTGGGTCACCCTTTTGGTTGTAATTCCCACTGAAAGTTAGAAGCACTTGTCCCATGTGAAATGGCTGTGGCTTTGTACGAGGATATCTAAATTTGATCAGCTTTCCTGTACCCTGCCCTCATCGGCTCCATCCCAGCTCATGGCACCATTGATATGTATGGGAGCTGACAGCTAGATAGCTCTTGCCCCATGACTTGGCTGATTGCTCTAAGTTGGAGAGCTGGACTCATGGGCATTATGAATGTGTCCAGAACTTGTGTGTCCCTCCTGTCCCAGTGGCAGAGTGACCCCTGAGAGACACTTCTCACCTCCTGATGTGTTGAGTGAGCAAAGCTCTGTGTCCAGGAAACTTTGTCTTGGGTGTTGCATACAGAAGGAAGCAATGAACAGACAGACAGGTGAATAAACAAACGGGCTTGGGGAGCCACCAGCCAACCCAACACCCCCCTCTTCTCCCTCCTCATCATGCATATACCTCTAAACACGTTCCTGCTTACGTTTGGGTGAGCAAGGCAGTTTGGTTGGCTTTATCCAAATCATACTTGGTGGATGGGGCCCCATCTGGCTACTGCCACACCTGAGTGGATTTTTCCAGCCTTGCTTTCTAGCCCCAAATCTCCTCTGGGACAGGGGTAGGAGGAGCTGGGTGGGGAGGCTCCTCGTCTGCTGGGAAGCAATGGATTGTGGCTTATCTCTTCTTTCTCTCCTCTTTTGCCACTAAGCACGGCAGTCATGATCACCTGAGTCCCTTGTCCTGGCAGGTGGGTGGCTGCGATGGGCAGAGCCAAAATGAGTCTTGAGGGTCCTGGGGATAGAGCTGAGCCTGCAAAGCCTCTCACTGACCTGTTTCCTGCTTGCTGGTGGGAAGTGGGGAAAGGGTTGGAGTGCCCTTCTCTCAGCTCCAAGGGACCTTGGTCTCTACCAGAGCAACTGGAAGGATGTGAAGGCTGAGGCAGGCAGGATGTCAGCATTTCATTCTGTGGGTGACAGGTTATCTGGGCTTGAGCCAGATGCTGTGAATGGCCCTGTGACCTTTCTGATGGTAGGAAAGTGTCCACCTCAGCCCCTGCCAAGTGGGTTCCTGTTTTCTTCCTCTACTCACCCACCCCCTTCCTTTTGATGTTTGCAAACCCCTCTGACTTGCCCAGCAAGTCTGAGCTACAGCTCAGAGTCCTGCCAAGCACTTCCTCCAAGTGTGCAGCCTGGGCCTTTGCATCCCATTCTTGAAATTCTGGTGGCATTGTTCTTAGGACTAAAATGGGAGGGTGTCTGACAGTGGAGTCCTGGATGAGCTTGGGTTTCAGCGTCATTTTTTTTTTTTTTTTTTTTTTTTTTTTAAGAATCTATTGTGGAAAATTTAGAACCGGTTTACTCTCTGCCTTTCCCCTCTTCAAAGGAGGTTTTCATATCTTTGGAATGTCTGTTTCCCCTTTCAGAATCCCATTGAATCCCACTGGGCATTCAGAGGGAGAAAAAGCTTTCCTACAACTTGATTTTCTGTAAAGAGTTTAGAAAAGTATGTAGTCATAGGACCAGCAGAAATTGTAACCGTGTGTCTCAACTCTGCATTGCCTAGTTCTCAATGTCAAATTATTTTCCTGACAATAAATCAGGCCATCCTGTGACCAACCCCTGAGACCAAATCCAAGTTGAAGCAAGAGGAGCCAGACCGTGCCACCTTTTCTGAACTGACTGGCTGTGGTTTTTGGGGGGAGCTTTGGTGCCTGGGCCCAAGCTTGTTTCCAAGGCCATTCTGCTGTTGTATCTGCGGTGGCTATGAGCATGAGGATGAGGACAGTGTGCCATGTGCCTCTGTTGCTCTACCCTGTGGGATCCAATCACCCCATCAGTAGTCACTGGCAGACCAACCTTTTATTTGCTGGTTGGTTGTTGTTGTTTTGTTTTCTCTTTTTAAATTGGTGAAGCATATATAACAAGAAAATTTCCATTTAACCATTTTAAAGAGTACTAGTTCACTGGCATTAACATTTGTTTACTTTGTTATCACCCCAGACCACCAGAACTTTTTCTCTTCTCCAATTTAGATTCAGTAGCTATGGCTAGACAGTCACTCCCCACAGACCCTGTCAACTATTCCTTCTGCTTCCTTTCCTAACAGCTTGCTTACTCTAGATGACTCATGAGTATTGAGATATTGAGGGATGTTAAATATTTGTGACTGGCTCATTTCATTTGACATGTGTCCCTACTGTTCGTCCCTGGGGTGTCACGTGTCAGAGTTCCCGAGTCGTTCTATGTAGAACTAACTGACTTCAGAGAGCTCTCCCTGCCTTTGTCTCCTGAGTGTTAGGATTAAAGATGTGGGCCACCAAGCCTAGCTCCCTTCCTGTAGGAAAACTTACCTTTACATTTATGTATTTATTTTGTGAGTATGGGGGTGGGACACGGTGCCCTGGCCCACACACGGAGATCGGGGTACCACGTGTAGGTGTCTGTTCCCGCCCTCTACGGTGTGGGTTCTGGGGATCAGGTCCTTTATCCTCTGAGCCATCCCACAGGCCCTCCCTCTCTAGTTAGCGTGAATGTTATTCTACCGCATGTATTGCTACACCGTGTTCATCCGTCAGCACTGGCAGTCTTGTTATTTTTAAATGGTTGGAATGCGTCAGAAGAGGGCAGAGCCCTTTGTAATCTGTAAGGGCAGTGTCAGCACAAAATGACAAGGCCAAAAGCTCAGAACTGCATGTTGGGTGTTTATGGGGCCACATGAGGCCATGTTCTACATTTAACCTTCTTCAGAAGAGTCGCTGAGTGAGGAAACATTTGAAATTTGTGGAATGATTTGGCTGGAGAAGAGCTGCCAAAGCTTGGCCTGTGAAGCCAGACCACATGGCTTAGAATCCCAGGACAGCAGTTAGCTGTGGGACCTTCAGCAGGTCTCTTAATGTCTGATCCTCCCCCTTCTCGTAAAATGGAGTTGTCTGTCAGTTAGCTTTTGCTACAAATCAAACCATTTGTGACTTAGTGGCTTAACATGCTTACTTAGCTTATGGCTTTGCTAGGCAGTGTGTTAGCCAATGTTGTATGTACACGGTTGGCTGTGAATGGCTCACCTTGGATGGCCTTATTTGTTACACTTGGTTGGTTGTCCCCTGGGGTGGCAGGAGTGACTGTCTCTCATTCAGCAGGACAGACTGGTCCTTTCTGTGGTGTTGGGTTTCAGGAGCAGAAAGAACATGCCCTTCCTAGGTCTCTGTTTCATTTTATATTTGTTGACCTCCTTCTGGTTGGAGTGGGTCACATGTCCAGCCCCATTCCAGGAGGTGGGGAAAAATGACCTTTACCCCAAGGCATTTGTGTGACTTACCCTAGTGATTGATTTGGTGTCCTGCAAGCATTTGTTAGAGAATGCATTATTCTAGATATCTTTCTGTCAAATATTGTATATCTATGGTGAATTTGCTACCTTAAAAAAATGCAGTAGCTAGAGAGCTGGCTCAGCAGTTAAGCACACATACTCACATACTGGTGGTTCTCAGTACACACACCTGACAGCTTACAACCACTTATAACGCCAGCACACACACATTCTCTCTCTCTCTCTCTCTCTCTCTCTCTCTCTCTCTCTCTCTCTCTCTCTCACACACACACACACACACACACACACAGAGTTAAAAACAATGAAGATAAATCTTAAAAAAAAAAAATACAACAATGAAAACCAAACCAAAGTACCAAATAATGTAGGCTAGAATAAGAAACAGACCTTTGCTGGCTGGGAGGGGATATGTAAGGCATGAATGGATTCCACAGATGCAGCCGATCTGTAGCTTCATTGTGTACGTTCTCCTCACACTTGTAAGACTGAGCTTCATTGTGTACGTTCTCCTCACACTTATAAGACTGAGCACGTTGTGTTGGCCAATTCCATCTTCCTTCCTCTGGAAGTAAGTGTATTGCACAGTTGACTTATTAACCAACTCATGGCCATCAGCTCTGTAACTCATGCTCAGCTAGCACACAGCTCTGCTCCATGAAGTCTGTCACACTCCTATGTTTGCCCGCACCAGATTTTGAGGCTAATTTAAATAGCAGAATCACAAAAAGAACAAAACTGTGAAAAACATGGTTCCTATACTGCAGGGAGAGGATACTTGTTTACTGTGTGAGAGCAGAAATGAAAGGAAGCAGTCACCTCAGTTCAGAACATGTCTCAGATGACATGCTGTTGTCTCTCAATGACCCTGGGCGAATCTCAGGCATTGATTTGGGGTTACAAGGGAAGCTTAGCAAATAGGTACATTGCAGGTATGGAATTGGTGAGTGACAGAAATCACCTGAGCTTGCTTCACAAAGAGCCAGGGGCTCAGTTGTTAGCATGCCAACCACCACATGGGGAACAGTATCTCAGTAGGATGCTACCGACCAGGAAAGCCTGGGAGAGCAGCATGCTTGAGGTCTGTAAGCCACGAGGCTGTGGGGTTGGCAGGAGAACAGAGGTCTAAGGCAAAGTATGTCTGCTCAGGGCCTGTGGAAAGGCCAAGAGAACTGAAGTAGCTCTCGGGGACAGAGCATGAAGGGCTGGTAAGAGTGTGCACAAGCCACAGACCTGCTGGGGCTTGGCAGGGGCAGTATGCAGGACAGCGCTTACATTATGTGGTGTCCCTGCACAAACAGAGCACCATCTTATGCTGTTCTGCTTTGAGTCAGGATAGCCTAAACTGGCCTTCCATGTGCTAGGATTGCAGGTGTGAACCATCACGCCCAGGTCAGCAACACCACTTGATTAAGCTCTAACTATTTGTTACGTGTCATTTTTACTTTATGTGTATGAGTGTTTTGCTTGCACATGTCTGTACCGTGTGTGTGTGTGCCTTGGGACCCTTCGAGGCCAGAAGAGTGTGTCAGATTTCCTGGAACTGGAGTTTTAGTTGGTTTATGAGCCACCATATGGGTGCTGGGAATCAAATTGGGTCCCCCGTAAGAGCA